TGGGGCAGTGTGCATAGAGGTAAGAAATTTCCTGTCTGCCCACCCTTCCTCCCTCAAGGCTCTACGCTTCCTAAGGTGCCTTGTCTATTCGGCAGCTTCAGAGGCCAGCACAGCACAGATACTAGAAGACTCTGGAAGAAGACAATGGTGCTCATTCATTGTTCTGATCCTGAAGCCCAAATTCTGGTTTCAAGGGAAATGAGCTATGAGGTTTGGCATCTTGCTGATTCAAAAATTTAGTGAATAAAATATAGGACATACCAGTATGTGTTTAATCCACCTAGTAATGCTTAGTTGTACAAAGGAAATTTTCTAGTTTCTCTAGTACACTAGATAGATGGACAGTATAGGAAGAATTACTTACTGCCAACAGGCCATTATAAAATCCCAAAGGAAGGAAGTTTCATTCTGACACAAAATTAAAAGGTTCAAATGTTTTCCCATTTAGACAATAAATTAAATATAAAAGAACACGTATTTAAAAAAAAAAAAAAGGATAGGATTTTGAAAGAGAGAGGCAGCCCTAGAAGCAGAAATGCAGTTTGAATAACTTTGATCCCATCTATTTCTTATTAACATTCATAACAAAAATGGTCAGTTTGTTCTCATAAAACCCATGCAGCTCACTCTACTTGTCACCTTAGGGGATGTGCCTTTCAATTTCCTTGACACGTAATTTTATTAGAAGTATCATGAAATGTCAAGCTAACCATCATCTGGAAAAGGGACTGTCCAACACTCTCAGCAGTACCCAAACAGAAGCTTGTGGGGGGTAAAGTTCACGTAAGAAAAACTCATTCATCTTGACAATAGGCTTCCTCTAAATGACAACTCTGCTCCAAAAAGGCAATAACATCAAAGTTTCTGCAGGTTTTGTCCCAAGGGCCAGGTTCACATATTTAAAATAAGAGCGATTCTGATACACTTGCACATTATTTGCATATGTCTATCACAGCTTCAAATTAAAGTTCTATTATAACAGTCCCTTCTGTGACCATTTTGTAATTTTTACTTTCTCATTTCTTTCTTCCTGCCTAAAGAAAAAAAACAATCACTCATATTCTCCCTATCAAAGGAGTATATAAGGCACTTAGAGAGCTGAGGAAAGAATGAAGATAAATGACAAATATTTTCTAGGGCTGCTGTTGCTCTCTGAGACATAGTTTGGAGAAAAAGAGTTCTATAGAAAATTATACGGTAAAAGTTCCTTCTCCTTTCAAAATCCAATGGGGAAAATGGTATATTATTATGCTAAGCCTATTTTACCATCAACTACGATTGTATCCCTAAAGATAGCTTTAAATCTGACAATACTCTAAACCAGCGGTTCTCAAGCCTTTTGATCTCAGCACCCCTGTACACCCCTAAAAATTATTTAGAACCCCAAAGAGGTCTATCAACACTTACCACATTAAATATAAAACTGAAAATATGTTAGCTTCCTTAATTCATTTGAAAATAAAAATAATAAACCTATTACATGTTAATATAAATAGGACATTTTATACAAAACAACTATATTTTTTTTAAAAAATTAATGAGCAGAATGTCATAGTTCTCCTTAATGTCTGGCTTAATAAGAAATAATCTAATTCATAGAAGACTGTCATATCTGCTTCTATACTCAGTCTTTTGTAAAATATTGTTTTGATTGAAGTATATGAAGATTAGGTCTCATACACACAGGGGAAGAGTATTTTAACAGCTGCTTCAAATAATTGTTTTAATAGTCTTCTTTGATACTACACCAAAGTGATATCAAAGTGACAACTATCATGTGACAAGTGATAGTTTCTGGAAAGTTTGTTGCAATGTAGAATCTAATACAACATATTGATGAACTTTTCCTACTATTACATTAAAATCTATTGGTCTATGTAGTTGACTGGGATTTTGTAACATCATGAACAAGTCATTTAGAAAATTTTTTCTCCCTGAGTTACCCAGATTGCTCAAATGTTGAAACATCTCATTATAAAATATTTTTTAAAAGTCATGTTTATTAGTATTACCATCAATGTCAGGAAAAAAATCTAAGCATTAGAAAACTGTAAAGCTCATGGTGCACTCATGGTGGCATATACAAGTTTCCCAAAATTCTGATTTTCTCACCAAAGTTCAGATTTTATCATTGGCAACAAATTCGATCAATTCTTTTTCTAGAAGTGGCACACTCAATTTTCTCATTTTTAATAAAATGTCTTCCAAATACCCAAGTTAGAATAACCATAGTTTATCAGTTTCTTCAAATAAAAATGGTGTGCCATGAAGAAAGTAGCTTGTCCAACTGTCAGTTCAATCACACGTGTTCTTCCTCAAGACAACCATCCACTTTGACATGCAATAGACATGCCTAAGACTATTTCCTATTTAATATTCCCACAGAATAATAAAAATATATATCCAATGATAGGGGTTAATAAATGTAACCAATTTTACTGCTTCACCAAGGATATTCTTAAGTAAAATTGGCCTTTTTTTTAATTGCAAGTGTGTGGAAGTGAGGACTATAATTACTGCTAGTACAGTTTGGTAGTGCCACTGCTTTGATTCATGGTGAGGCACCAGGAATCTTACCACTGTTACTTTGCAACATCAATGCAAAGAACACAGTGAAGAAGGCAAATGATGTCTTGGTTTCATTATTAAAATAGTTCTGACCTCACAAATGTCCCATGCCCAAGGGGTCTGGGAGACACCTCCAGAGATCTACAGATCACATTTAAGAATCACCACTCCAAACATACTTTATGGATTTTCACCATTGCTCAGAAACTACAATTATAAATCCCCCCAAATCTACACTTTCATCTAGATTTAGATGTGGTTCATCATGGAACAGCCTTCAGTCAAGGTTCACACTGATAAGATGATTGTATGTTTCTAATCAAAGCAAAGAATTGATTTCTGCTGAATTGATTTCCTCTTTGGAAAACAAGCAAGTAGGCTTCTCCTGTGCACAGAGAATGACAATGTAAAAATATTTAATTTAACTCCACCTTCAATTCTGAATCTAACAGAGTTTAATACATGGAATTTTATTATAAATGAAGAAAATTAAAAAGAGAAAAAAACCCAAACAATATTTTTCATCTAATTTGATAGTTTCTTATTTTCTTTCTGTAACTATACTTTTTCATTTCCAAAATTTCTATTTGACTCTTCTCCACATTTATCTGTTCCCATTTTTTATGTTGTTTTATTCTTGCGTTATAGATTCTCTTCCATCCTACATAACTTTGAACAGTTTATTTCTTGTGCTGTGACATCTGCCATGTATTGTATCTGCTAACTCTCATTTATGGCTGGTTCCTCATTTGGTTTCTAATATTTGCCTTTGTGCTATCTTTAGTGGGAGTTGTTTTCCGTGGGAGTCTTGCATTTCCTGGGTTAATCCCTATAAGACAGTTCTGGTTTTGCCTCTGCTCCAGCCCTATGATGTCTGGACCAGTTTTAAAGTCAATTTATCAGGGTTTCTGCATTTTATGCGTGGTGTCAATTTGGACCCGACAATTGCTAACGGCATCAGCCTTGGGAACTGATTTCTCTTGGGTGACTCTTTTTCCATCTATGCTTTGGGTGGGCAGCCAGTTTCCTTGCTAGCCCCCAGAGATTATTCTGGATTCCCAAGGTAGAGAATACCTTTTTCTCTACTAGAGAAAAAGAGAATACTGGACTCCTGCTCCATGGTGTGGATTACATTACACATTACATCAGAACATCAAATTTTTCCTCTCTGTTGGGTCCTTTTCACTAGCATTCAATATATCATCTCTCCCATCTCAACACCAAAAATAGAGAGCGACTGGGCTTTCTTATCTGCTTGCCCAGGTATGGGGCAGAAGGAGAAGGGGAGTGGTGGGCTTGAAAGCTGTCAGCCATTGAACATCAAAATGGTATCATACTTTTCATTAACATACAATCACACAACTTTAAAATAACTCTTCCTCCTCCTCCAACCTCTACTCCTGATATTATCCATGGCACTTATTTCTGGCCACACTATATAGTTTACTCACTTTTGATGTTTGTAGTTTATTGTCAGCCTGTTTATGATTAGAATGTAAAATCCATGAGGGCAAGACTTTTGTCAGTATTTTTACATACCTATCTACATTGCATATATAAACATTAGAATACTGATATATGCCAAGAGCTTAGAACAGTGCCTAGCATATCGCAGGTGCTCAAAATTATTTTTTGAATGAATTAATAAGAAATTTGTGCATTACTAAGTGAATCATTATTAATCATATTATAAGACCTATGATAGAAGCATTTATTACAGATGGTATAAGGAAATTCTTGAAAGTATATTTCTATATTATTAAATATGAAAAAAAATCACTGTAATAGTATTATTTTTTACTATTCTACTTGTTTATATGTCTGTGAGCATATGGATACTGCTAGATCAGAGCCTAGCAATGAGATAGTTAACAGATACTGGCTGAGTAAACTAATGAATCAATGAACAAGCTAAATGAAAGATCTGACACTAACAATTGCAGCACATTTAAATAATCAGCCACCTGCAATAGTGTCTTAAATAGTTTTAGCACAACATAATTCGGAAGATGTTACTTTTTCAAAATACAGCTTGTTTTTAATATTTTTATTCAGTGCTTAAGAAAAAAATATTTCATAGGTTTTATTTGTAAAAAGCTATAAGGAATTTAGGTTTGGTCTTTTTAAAAAATAAATTAAATATATAAAAAAATCAAAGCACTGTTAATTTGTTCATTCTATATATGGCATTAAACATTTTAGCTATATGCTTTAATAAAGCAATTGCTTTGTTGAGGACTATAGTTTTATAAGCTATAGTTTTAGAACTTTAGTTTTAGACAAAAAGTCCTCTGAATAATAAAAAGCAAATGTGTTATGGATCTAGGAATGTGTAAAGCTTGCATAAAACTTAAGCATATTTAGCAAATGAGGTAGGGTGAGGAAGAAATGCTCTTCCAACGTACACCTCTTCTGAGCATGGAAAGACTCACCTGTATGCCGCCACGTGTCTCTGCAGGGCGATTGCAGCCAGCTGAATTCTGGCCTCTACCACAATCTCCAACTCGCCAGCAGAGCACTGGGAGAGGTTCTGGTGGCCTTGATGCTCTATCTCTGACACAAGGAAGTTTAGTCTGTCTTCAGCTTCCAGCAGTAAAACTGACTAAAGAAAGGACACCACACAATCATGTAAGTTCAGAAATAATACAAATAGTGTCTCATTCTTAGTTATCAAATATTTTTCATGTACTGAAAAATAACAATGAAAGGAAGACCAAAAAAGAAATCTGTACCTAATCATCAGAGAAGAGCACAGTGAACAGAAAAAAGGCAACAGAACATGCAGAGTGCTGGCAAGGGTAAGCATGTACAGCAGTGACCCTTCATTGTATGCACAGCGATACTCATTCTGTGAAGTTGTCACAAATGCTGGTTAGTGGATACTGAACCATTGCTTCCAGGGGAGATACAGAGATAGATTCCTGCAAGCTTCTGGTCACTATATATTCTTATTCATATTCACACATATTTAATATGTGTTTATATTTAAGGATACATTATTTAATATATAGTTGATTGATTAACCTTGAAATCACAGCCATTGGCACTGTAACTAATGTCCACACAAAGCTTATCTAACACACATATATTCTCTGTAAGGCACATCAGCATTAAGTGTTCTCGCACTTAGAAACACTAGACAGCACTTCAGCACTATGCTTAAGGGTAATTTTAAATTGTGAAATCACCACCACCACCACCAACAAAAAAATGCAAAAACTGTGGTACAAAATAGACCATGAAGAGGACACTTGTTTACACAGTGAGAGCTGAAATAAAAGTCAGAGTGTCATCTTTTCAACCTACCTGGGAATGTGCATATTGAGCAAGTCAAATTTTTCTATGCTCTGGGGGTATCCACAAATAACAAGAAAAGTGTCAAGTACTATACTGAGGTTACAACTAAACTTTAGTGGATAGACAAATTAGCAAACAAAGAATTTGTGAATAATGAGGATCAGCTGTATTTCAAGTTAAACTATGGTCACCTAATTGGTAATATGAAGATAATGAGATTTTGCATTAGACAGTCAGAAGTAAACAGCAACCTGACACGGCAGATTATAAACGGACTAACTAATCATTTAAGCAACGGGTCTCTAAAAACTTAATTGTACAGAGCAGGAATATTACATACATACTAGGGAAATTTAGGATAATGGTTAAGAACATGAACTTTTGAATCAAAAAGATGTATGTTCTACTCCCAGATCTATATTTTATTAGTTGCATAATGTTAGTCAATTTCTTATACTGTCTAAGCCTCTGTTTTCTCATGGTTCAGCACAGCATGGTTCAAAAATGATTAATACCTATATCATACAGTTGTGAAAATTAAATAATCATGCAAAAATGCCTGTCATGCAGTAAGCACTAATAAATGGTAGCTGCCATTGCTGTTGTCATAATTATTATTAGGAAATGAGGAACACGGCATGGAATACTCATATTCCATCAAATAATGAATCATATTTTCTGAAGCACCTTAATCAGGTTGTAAAATCAAAGGCTGATACCTCTGGATATACTTTTCTCATGGGAGTAAACTCCATTCCTGGCCTCAACCCATTATTTATGCAAGAAAAGAGAGCTAGTCTGCTAAGAACAACCATAACCCTGAGAGTGGGCCTGTCCAGGGCCTAAGATTGCATTTTGGTAACTGATTTACTATGGTTTGAAAAAAATTTCAAACTTACCTTTAATGTGGAAAGAGTAAACTCATCTTTCCAAAGGTTACCAGGTAGGCCTCCATTATCCCTTAACAGTAAGTCTATAAAGACACAAAATTTTGGAGGACAAGGGATATCTGTGGTTAATTTAAATATTAATTTTAGTTTTTAAAACTCATCACTCACAGGGAAACTATGCATAAGTTTAATATTAAAAAACAGCCACAATGATCATTTGAAACATATTCCTATGTCAAATAGTCCCTAAATTTCATACATTTGAAGGCTTAGGCTGATTCCTACAATAAAATCAGACAATTCTTAAAGGATCTTTTGGATACTTCATGATGTTATTCAAGTAAGACCCTCAAAGTATTTTGAGTCTTCCAGATATTTCTCACATTTCAATAAGATCTCCTTGGATGCATTGGTTCTGCTGATATGCACAAGCCTCTCACTTTAAGAGCAGAGAGTGAGGGCATTTGGAACAGCACAATCCATAGCAAATATCTCTTTCAAAGTTCCCACCCACAATCCTAAGCCTGTCCATATTCTGAATCAGGGAGAAGTGAGAGGATTTAGATCACAGTCTTTGCCTCCTTCAGTCAACCTGGTTTCTAGACTATGGAAGAAAGAAAGAAATCACAAATCATTTGACTAGAAATTACCGCAAAAATTGTCTACCTAAAGAGATTATGTTTGACAAATGGGAAGAATCCTAAAATAAAATGGAACTTAACACACCTGACTTCCTTTCTTCTTCCAACCCCAAATTACCTGGCTATTTCCCAAAATTAGGAGGCTCTGGATCTAGGGGTCAGCAGAGTATGGAGCGGGCTTGGACTTTGGGAAAGGCTTAACAGGAAGATCTGGGACTGCACTTCCTTGCCTAGGGAGAAAGTGAGAGGGAGAAAGAAAAAGACAAAGAAAACAAATGCCTGGAAGCTGGTATAGAAAAACCCTGAAATGAGTATCAAAATATAAGAGATCGTACAAAAAGTTTGATCCACAAATATTCATGAACCCATTTGTAATAAAATAAACTTGGGTCCCACATAAGTGTCCTGGGACCCCTAGAAGATAAAGAAGAGCTAGACAGATGAACCATCCAGAGGCTAAGAGATCCAGGAGAACTAATGCCTTAACAGAGATTGGTTATCTGCCTGCTACTCCACACCTTGCTGACCTCACCTTCTATCACTATGTAGCTGATGGCCAACAAGACAGGAACTCCAATGAGATGACCAGGAAGAATGAATAGCACCTCTAAGAAGATTTGTGGTTCAGACCACTCATGTTCACTTGTATGCATTCTCCTCTCCTTCCTGAGCACCTGGCAAGGCTACACTTCTTAGCTTCTTTGTATTTAGATATGGTCTTTTTCCAACTAAATAAGAGCTCCAGACTGAGGAATTTAAGAGCTCATGTGCCACTCCACACTCTCCATACTCTAGCTCTTGGTTTTTCTAGGCAATCGCCATCTCATTTTTCAGATGATGTACCTACAACATAGTGGCACTCGGGCACATGAGAGGCTTTATAAAGTACAGCCCCTTGTCAATCCCAGCAAGAACTAAACCTTTGCTGGGTTAAGCCATGAAATTTAAAGGCTGATTTGACTATATAAGCCTAGCCTGACTTATACAGGGGCTCAGTAGCCAGGCAGAGGAAATTCAAATGGGAAACAGAACTGCTAGGAGCAATCATGACAATTAGAGCCTGAAATAATAAGAACACTTATGGAAGAGCACAAAAAATGCTCTCTGGAACTAAATGCTTTGTCAATTGCAGATTCTTTCAACATTAAGGCAGGTATGTTTCCAGTAAAATCCCCGATCTAAAAAATCAAGAGAAAAATCTCACAAGCCTCCACTCAAAAAATCAAATTATAAAAAAAATTTAAAAAAGAAAAGAAAAAGAAATAGATCTCTTATTTGCATCCCTTGAGCCAGAGGACTAGGATTAACATCTAGAAATACTGAGGCTTGAAAGGACAGAAAATCTAAACATTTAATTCTTAACAGGTAATGATACATGTAGAAGTTAGTGCTAAATAAAGTTATTGAAATAGAATGGGCATACTGAAGGAAAATTCTAATAAGAGTCTAGAACAAAAAATCAGGAGTTGGGGGTTGAGTGAGGTGGTCTAATATGCTGGAGGGAAAAGGAAGGGAAAAGAAGGAAGTTGAAAGTGTTTCAAGGTCTGTTATTTGGGCAGAGTAGCTTGCTAAGTAAACTAGTTGCTAAGTTATTTGCAAATGATACCGTGTTTCCCTGAAAATAAGGACAGGGTCTTATATTTATTTTTCCTCAAGAAGACACTCTAGGGCTTATTTTCAGAGGATGTGTTATTTTTTTTAAGTATGGTACAACAATCCACATTTATTCAAATATAGTTAAGTCGTCTTCTTCTGGAACATCATCATAACTCTCCAAACCCTGAATTCCATCCCGAATTTCTTGCGACTCTATTTCCTTTAGAACCATTGGCCCCAATCTCTCATGTTGAGCAATAGAGCTCTCATTAAATGAGCAGGGGTGTCTTATGTATCAGAGATCCAGTGAGTACTGGGTCCAATCTGCACAGTGGAGTAGAAATGATCTCTCTGGGCTCAGTAGGAGACTGCTTGTTGAAGCTTTTCTCCTATCCCCTGGTGTTTGTGGGGGGTGAGAGAGGCTCACAGTGCTGAGTAAAATGGCAGCCATAGCTTTCCTTTTTCCCCCTGGGGACACACAATAGCTAAAGCAGAGCTTCCCAGTCCTCACTTCACTGAGGAGACTTTCCCCTCAAAGCCTCAGCTTGGAGCATGCACAGGATGGCTGGGACCTGACGGGGGAGGTGACCTTGTTGGTGGGGCTGCCCACACCTTTCCAGTCACCTCTGGAATAGTAGCTGTCACGATGGGGCAGATGAGAAGGGCTGCTTGTCTTCTTTACCGCTCTGCGATGACAAAATGCATGGGTCATGCAGATACGCTGCATAGCCACACCCATCACTAGGTCTTATTTTCAGGGTAGGGCTTATATTGCGCAAATGTTTAGCAATCCTGCTAGGGCTTATTTTATGGGTAGGTCTTATTTTCGGGGAAACACCATAGTAGCGAATGCAGGCCTAATTGTAAGCTTCGGGAAGGGAAGATAAAAATTAAGGGCATAAAATCTGAACAAATGGGAAAATATATGATGTTCATGGAAGGGAAGACTTTATAAAAAATGTAAATTGCATTAAAATTAATATATGCATTTTAATGAATTCCAATTAAAAAGCCAAAAGTATCTTTTGTCTTTTGTTAATGTAGTTTTCTTGTTCAAAATCAGATTAAATTATCTTGAAGTACAGAGGTCTAATGTTCCTAAGAATATTTGAAAGGAAAAAGGAACAAGTGAAGGGTAAATGGTAATGATCTTAACACAGGTATTAATGGCTTTCCAGATCATTATAAATGGATTCATGAATCCAGCAATATTTCAACCCTTCTGGAATCCACAACCCATTGGCATTACCAGGTTTTCACTGTTCCCTTGACCCCACCTCCCCTTGCCATCTTTTTATCCCTACTTAGCCAGCTTTATTTCATTAGTCCACCATTTCAATCACTCTCTTGCAAACAGCTTCAGTTTCCTTGGCTGTCTCTCCTTTAGAGCACTCACCTGGTCCAACCTCAAGGCCCATCAAATCCAACTCTCTGCCTACCCCACATCTGCACCCCTGAATTTTGATGTGGCTGGAGAAAAAGCACAATGACTTTTCTCAGAGCTGCCCAGAAGACCTACTCCATTTCCCAAGTCCATCTGCCCTCCTGTCCTCTAAGGCAACTACTTTATCCCTTCGCCTCTCTCCTTAATCTCCAATACTGCCTCCCCTTTTCTTACTCTCAGTTGACACTTTTGTTTCCTATTCCAAAAAAGAGACAGAAGAAATTAGCAAATAACTTGTACACATTCCCACAATACATCTATCCAGTGGCCTGTGTGTAAACCTATACACTGCATATAAAACCTATACAGCTTATATGATAAGCTTCAACTTATCATTATGGGTGAGCTTCATGCCTCCACGCAGGGCCAAACCCTCTACTTGTGCACTAGTTTCAATCCCATCTTGCCACCTAAGGATATCATGTTAGATATCCACCTACCCAACAACTTGCATCATAATTTTTCCCCTCTTCCTACTGAATCATTTCTATCAACACAAAAACAGACTCCTATTTCTTCATTTTTTAAAAAAAAGAACCTCTTTTTTCCCCCTTTACAAGCCTCCCAATTTATCTCCTCCCTTCACAGCAAAAAGCCTTGGGACTTAACTGATATCCATTCACTCCAATTCCTCTCCACTCACTCTGTTTGGAACCCATTCCAGTAAGAGTTGGTCCAACTAGATTTATCTTCCAGATTCTCCAATGATACCATTTTTCTTCAGCCCAACCTCCAACTTACTTGACCTGTTGATTTGATCGATCACTCCATCCTCCTGAAAACACCCTGTTCCCTCATCCCTTCTCAGTCTCCTTTATGAATTCTTCCTCAGTTTTGGACCTGTTTATGTTGGTGATCCCAAACACCCACTCCTTCACCTTGTCTCTTCTCCATCTACATTCACCTCCTTGGAGATCACATGTGGTCTTGGTCCTTTAAGTACCACCTGTAGGCTAAGGATTCTGAAATGTTTCTCCATTATAGACTTCTTTCCTGAACTCCAGAATTATGTATCAAACTACCTACTCTTTAGTTCCATGCAGGTGTCTAATAGGCATCCCAAACTTAACATGTCCCAAAATGAACTTTTGATCTTCCCTTCCATATCTTTTTGACTCTACTTTCAAGATGTATCCAGAATCTGGACACTACTCACCACCTCCACTGCTACTACTCTTGTTGAAGCATCATAAGCTCAACCTGAATTATTCAATAGCCTTCTAAAAGGAAATAGGATTATGCTATTAAAATTGTTTTCCCTTTTACTTCCCCTAACCTCATGGCCCAGCCTAGTTTCAATACAGAAACCAGAGTTAGCAATTCTTCCAACTTGCAATTCTTCCTCTCAAAAGTTTTCACTGGCTTCCCAATTCACTCAGAATTAAAGCTAAATTCTTTATTA